CACTGCAGCTTTTTAAGAATAATTCCCAGTTTCAAGTGTATTTTTCAGAGATCTGGCATATAAGTAAAGAATATTCAAATTATTGCACGTATCTACTTCAATTTACGAGCGCTTTCAAACAGCTGTCTTGTATCTTTTGGCAAATCCTCATTCACAAATATCCTCCTCTCGAGGTCTGCAATATTGCATTCCTTCAGTGTTATTGTGCCTTTTTTTTTCGTTGCCTCCAATAAAATATTTCTCGCATTTTCGTTCTCAAAACTAACCAGGGCCGGTATTCTGGTCCTCGAAAACGCTCACCGCTTTTCAGTCACTCGGCACTTCTAATGTAAATTTACATTGAAAGTGCCGAGCGACTAAAAAGCGGTGAGCGTTTTCGGGAACGAGAATACGGGTCCAGGACATGCGTTCCATTGTTTCTAGACTAAAGAAGCTTCGTTTTCATCATTTCCCGGGGAGGAATGTTCACCGCAAACCTATTTCTAAATTGATTCGGTACATAAGCATAGGCTCTACATATACAAAAACTCTAATATTACTTATATTTAGCTTTGATCCGTTCCAAATTTCTGCTAGGGTTGCATTTCTAAGATTATTATTTGGTGTTCTATTTAATGAATAAGCTGAAACTGTCACTGCTTCATTCCATAAATACTTTGACATTTCCTCCCCTTTCATTTTCATAATGTTGATTTTGAGAGGCTCTGCCTCTATTTCTGTAAATGCTTCTTTGAAATCTTCATAGCCATAGCCCATTAGAGTTACCTCGAAAACCGATTATAGTCTCTTCCAAAACTTTGACTCTCGAAAAACGCCTCGATTACGGCTTTCTTCTTAATCCAAAACCACGTCTTTCTGATGCCGATGTTTCATGGTTTATATTGGGACAATCTTTTTTAAAATTACCACTTTTTCCACATCGATAACATACATATCTGTCGAAAACTCTATCTGTCGTAAATGATCCATTTATTTGTTGATATCACTTCCATGTTGCTTCATAGTTGTTTCAGTTATTCTAAGCATTGTACAATACATCGCTGGTCTTAAATTTCTTCCTAGTTTTTTGCGTTTTTTTTTTTCGCCAGTATAATCAGTGGCCCTGAATTCCTTCTCTACAGAATCTTTAACATCTTTTCCTTCTAGTAATATCTCCATTCTAAATTTCCAAGCTTAATAATTGTCCTGGTTCAAGGTTTAAATATTAAAAGTGTTATTTTTTTCTGCAATGATGCTGATTTTTTTACTTTACAATTACTTTTTTTTTTCTCCACAAAATAGGGTTTTCTGGACCCATAACCTATTGTAATTTCATCTTCATTCATTGGTTCTTTAAATGAAATTTCTTCAATCTTCTTCTTTATAACATATAGGCACCTACTTTTTATTATTCAATAATACAATAATTATAATTATAACAATTGATAAGGTACCTTTATCAACTGTCTGGAACAACTCCTATCTAGATAACTATTTGATTAATTTCATAAGAATATGTTTACATACACAAAATATTGTCATCTCTTGAGATAAAACATAGTGCTTTATATAATTTCAACAACAAATATTCAGATATCAAGACAAGCATTACAAAATGTTCAATTCCACAACAATAACTTTTTAAAGAACGTTTCACACCAAGTTTCAAGACTTTATAGACTGTGGTCAGCAATATCATTATCTTTCCCTTTGATCATCCAAACGCTATTTTTTCACAGCTCATTAGATGATAATTCAAATATGCTGTTTCAATAGAATCGGTTGATGATAATTATTTGTCAAATATGTCTTGGTTAGGAACCAGAGGAGAAACTACCTTTCAAGTGTCCATCAACTTCCACTATATCTAATATTTTCCGTACATCCTCCAGGTTTCTCAGATTTCTTCAATAATTAAGTCAAACTTCCTTTTCAATATCATAAAAATCAAACTCACGGATAAGGGATATTTTTAAGGCTTCCCCGTTTTTTTCCGGATTTTTATAAACCTCCTCAAAACTTTCCATTCCGCTTCTGCCGTTCCTTAAGCGGAGGCTAAAATTTTCCGGGAAGTTTAATCATCAAATTTTGCAGTTCAAAACTATTTCATCATCTTTAAACTCCAATCGCTGGCTTCACTAATGTTATACTTACTGAAACGATGTAAGTGTAACGAATTTGAATCTAAACTATAATATGATCTCGTATATAGATATTATCTAATCCATAGGTATAGATTTCAATTTATTAGAGAAATATAAATCATACCTAATTTATTGAACAATAATTATATACCGGGTGTCCCAGCTCAAACTGGTCAATGGCCGATTTCTTGAACACGATAATTGATTAAAAAAAAGAAAAACCCGTTTGGAGGGTTGGAAGGGGGAACCAAAACAAGGTACTTTTCAGATCTCCTCCGATCACCCTTTCGGCCGTAGCCACCCTAACCTAAAGGGGAAAGGGGTTCTTGATGATTTGTTAAAAATTATTCATGATGTTATTCATTTTGTATAAAATCGATTTTAAATCACATTTACCTTTTCCACCCAATCAAATGAGATTTTCATCAAAATGAGAGTCACATTTAAATCGGGATAATTTTTTTCACGGATCCATTTAGAGAATTAAAAAACCTTCAAAACATCAAGGTATCACATGACCTATAGTGCCATAGAAGATTTTGAGGTTAGGGTGGCTACGGCCGAAGGGGTGATTCGGGGAAAGGTGGAAAGTACCTTGTTTTGGTTCCCCCTTCCAACCCTCAAAACAGATTTTTTTAAAAATCGATTACCGTTTTCAAGATATAGGCCATTGACAGTTTTCGGTGGGACACCCGGTAGCGATTTTACTAAATATAAACTATTACAGCACAAGACACGCCCCCAACTTCGTCATTGCAAAATATAATCGACCTCGGCGCGATTTTACTAAATATAAACTATTAGAGTACAAGAGATGCTAGCCCTTAACGTCATTGCAAAATATAATCGCGCTCAGCACATCCCTGCAAAATCTAATCGTTTGTACGATACGTGGCGGATCTAGCCTCAAATTTTACTTGTTGTTAGAAGCAGGGCACACTCTTAGAAGTTAATTATTATTGTTAGTATTGTGTGCTTTCATTATGGATAATTTAATTCAACTTATTAATCCATTGTGTAACAATGGAAATGTTAATATAATCGAGTATGAAAATCAAAACAATTACATAGCAGTACTTCGCTTAAAGTTAAAAGGGAAATCTGACGAAGAGTGCAATTCCGACGACTTTAACTTGCGTTGCAATGAGTGGGTAAATGAATTTTCAATAATAACAAAGACACAATGGATAGTGAAAAAACTTTGCCAAAAATGCAGATTATTGTTTCGTAAACTATCAAACTTTATATCATTGAAATAAGCAAAAACAGAGCTATCCAATGAGCTATTAATATATAGGGTGTTTTATTAAAAAATATTGGACTTTGGTCAATATCTCGAAATCGGAGCGAAAAAAAATGAGTCGGCCACTGGATTGTGCTCAAAAAAGTATCTCCCAAATGTTTTTACAGAAATAAAAAAAAATGATAAACAAAAAACTTATAGCTATTTGTCATAATAGGGGAATATCTAAAAGCGCCCTGTATCAATGTTGCCATTGAAGATATCGTGATACGGTTTTTGACAACCGACGTGTCTCGAAAATAGATCCCATGAAAGGTTAATTTTCTTCTATCTGGTCTGGAAGTATGTTTTTCCTGGTTAAAACACTCCAAATTGCAGCACCTTGTAAATTTTTAAAATTCGATAACTGTATTCTTTTTCAATTGATTTATTTATATGAATCAGCCGCACGTTGTGCTGTCAACGATTAGATTTTGCAGGATTGTGCTGAGCGCGATTATATTTTGCAATGTTAGCGTCTCTTGTGCTCTAATAGTTTGTATTTAGTAAAATCGCGCCGAGGCCGATTATATTTTGCAATGACAAAGTTGGGGGCGTGTCTTGTACTGTAATAGTTTATATTTAGTAAAATCGCCACCCGGTATACAGTAGTTGATAACAATAAATCATACTTTACACACTTTTATTTTTGCTTTATCATTACTAAAATACAATCTCCCTTTTATTTTATTGTTCTTATAGAACACACACGAAAGTCAGGATGACTCAAAAGTTCTTCAGACGTGTGGGCTCGGTGGTACCCGATGCACCCACAATAGCGACTTCAAATATTTGTGTACACGTCTGGGTCGTTTTCGGGTTCGTGTGGGGGTGGGCACTGATTTACAAGAGTTCACGTGAGAAGAGATTGTTGACCATTTAACAAAATTCACTTGGTATAAGGCAACAAATTACAGTACCACGGCCGCGGTACTATCGGAAGCCAATCGACCGAGCAAGCACTAATTGCATTTTCTATTGAAATTTATGAGGGGACAGTCTGGATATTTGTCAATGTCAGCATGGCTATGTTTAGATTACTATTATTGATTTATAAAGATGGATTGGATAGTAAATTTTGCCGGTTTGGTGGATATCTGCACATATAAAAATTGGTCTTTTTAATATTTATTTGAAAGTACCATAGTCGTTGTGCTCATCTGGTCATTACTATCATCTGATTTGTGATTGATATGTTCTAGCTGCCTGTAAGAAGCTAAATTTTTCTAAAACCATAAAAGCTTACTTTAGAAATTTGCTATAGCACTTATACAATTATTTAAGATAAGAATCCGAAATTTCTATTCGCGCAAAATTTTCCAGACCGTGGAAGATGTAAGACATCGTTCCTAATATCCTGAAACCTGGATAAGGTTAGACAGGTGCGCGTCGGTTGGCATCTAATCCAGACAGTTCAATGATAAATACCATCGGAATACAACTATGTTAGTTTAGTCTGGTGCATTCTGGTTAATTATGTTGCATCCCAGACGTGTTCGCTTGTCAAGCCACAAAATTTTTGCCAGACTCGCGTTGTATCCAGACTGCACTAGACAGATGGCCAATGTTACGTCATAAGTGTGTGTTTCCAGGATTCTGAATTAGCACTATTGATATAAAACATTTTTATTATTTAATTTACAATTTGGAGTCTAAATTAAGCCTTTTTTCGTATTGTTTCAGCAAGTTTCTTAGTTCTCTTCTCAAAATTTTACCGGTTTGATTTTTGGGTATGGATTCTACGAATATAACCCCGCCTGTTAAGCGTTTTTGAGGAGAAACTACATCTAAATAAAGCAAAAAAAATTATACAAAAGTTGTGGAAACTTAGAAAAATCTTACCGGCAACATATTTTTTCAGTTCATCTTCAGTCACTAGGGCACCAACTTTTCTAACTATAAAAGCCAAGGGTCGTTCACCAACCAACTCATCAGGCAAACCCACTACACCTACATCTTGAACTTCTGGATGAGTCAATAGAATAGCTTCCAATTCAGCTGGAGCAACCTTAAAAGAAAATTGTTTTATATTGTGAGTGATTATATTTATGAAAATCAGAGTCCATATTCATACCTGAAACCCTTTGTATTTAATGAGTTCCTTTATACGATCTATAATGTAAAAGTATCCTTGTTCATCATAGTAACCTAAATCACCAGACTTCAGCCAACCATCAGAAATGAAAATGTCTTTGGTAGCTTCTTCATTTCTGTAGTACCCAACCATCGAAGAAGGACCCTGAAAGATGAAATTTCAATCGCCCTTTTTCCAATAAATCAATATTCAATACCTTCCAACAGAATTCCCCAACTTGATTGGGTCCCAACGATTTTCCAGTAGCAGGATCCCGAACTTTGCCTTGAACAAAGGACATGGCTTTTCCGCAGGAGCCATGACGTAAGTCGTCTAGTGGTACTACAGTGATGGCATGAGTGGTTTCAGTCATTCCGTAACCTTGACGGATGTTATCGCATCTTAATCTAAACAAAAAGAATCAGTACCATGATTTAAGCCAAATGGAATCTTTCCTAAAAGATCTCGAATTGTTCCATTTTTCAGGTTTGTTCAATAGAAGTACATTACAATTTTCATCTGCGTTGTTGAATGCAAAACGAATTTCAACTATTCATTAAATCATCTATGAATGAAATCTACCACAAAGTTGCTGTTCAGTAAATTCAATAATGAGCAGCGAATATTTTAATTCCAGGGAATCGCTAATTAAGTTTAAAGTCACAACGATTATTTTACCTTCTTTTGACTTCCTCCTCGACATCTTTACACAACGGTGCAGCACCACACAAGATTCGATTGACGCAACTCAAATCGTACTTGTCAAGCAAAGAAGTTTTAGCTAAAAAAACTGCCAGCGGTGGTGCTAAAAATAACGTGTGGATTTTGAAATCTTGGATCGTTTTTAGGAAACTGTTTTCCTCGAACTTCCTAAGAGATATAACGGTACGACCGTTGGCTAAAGCCATGAGTACCATTGCGAAGCCGTACGAATGGAAAAAGGGCAATAGGCCTAGAATATTTTCGTCGTCCATTATGATTGAGAAACGTGGATCTCTGGAAACAAATTTTTAATAATTTAAATTAGTTACCTAGTTAATATTTTACCTGCTATGAGCTAATCTAACATCAAAACAACGGTGTGAGAGTGCCACGCCTTTTGGCAACCCAGTAGTACCAGAAGAACATAGAATAGCCGCAATCATTTTACTTGGATCTCCGGTTGCTAGCTTAAAAACAGCTGGATCCACATTTTTAATACCAAGAACACCTTGTATAAATTGCTCTGTTGTTTGCACTTCAGTTTTTAAGTGAGAGTATTTGGGACTTAATGGAGACTTACCCTAAAGAACTCAAAATAAAATACTGCTTCTTGGTAATTTTAATGCTTACCAGTATAACAATCACTTCAATAAACCCTAAATTCTTTTTCAAGGTAACAAATTTCTCAGCGACATCTTCAGAACAAAACACCACTTTTGGTTCGCTTATTTTAAGAGTATGTTCCAATTCGTAGATTGTGTAGACGTGATTTAGCGGTGCCATGATGGTACCGTTGAAGAACGAGGCCAAAATTGGGGTGAAATAGTCTACACAGTTTTCGCTGCTTATGGAAAGGACTGTATTTTGGTCATAGTAACCATAATGGCGTAGGGTTGCAGCTAGATTAAGGGATCTTTGAAAAAGCTCTGTGTAGAAAATTTTTTCGTTGGTGAATGCGTCGATCTACAATATTGTGATAAATTGTTTATTGTGAATAATAATTCATTCTCACTTACTATGGCCACAGCATTTTCAGGAAGCCTAGGGAAAATTTTGAGAAATTCTGTTCCCAAGGTATCATTAGACAACGGTTCCAAAGGTTCTGGTCCTTGAATAACATAAGTGTCATCTTCTTTTATAGTTTCAACACCCATATTATTTTCTTAGAAAATAGAAAATATGTTTTTAATAAATTCCAATCTATACTTTTATAAATATTTGTAAAAAACTAGAATTTTTCCAAGACACGAAGAGATGAAGATATTAAATTACATCAGACTTACCTACACTTGTACGTCTTCAGAAAAAACACAAATAACAAACTGTTGATTATTGCAATTAGCTCCTTTTTCTTCTTGTTTTTGTCAAATTAATAAATAATTAACGTCTTTGGCCGACCTTTAACTTAATTAAAATCGTTATACTGTCTGTGCATGATTCCTCACAATAACTTCGATTGTAAATAAATTCCAAAATCAATACTATCGAACTTGTTTTGTAAGCGATAGTGATACTATCAGTTTATCATAAATTGGTACGAGGCAGGTTTAGAAATTACTAATTTTGAAGGCCATTTGTTTACACTGATGCCTTCCAAGTTAATTTCTAGGATTGTTAATGCGTATTTATGGTCATGGACCTCAATTTTTCGAACCTTTAATATTATTTTGGAAGTCTTGAGTGAAAATTTAGGTGTAATGGTAAGCAAAAGAAATGATAACATAGGGAATCAACAATTTCTGTAGGCAGAATCTTACACTGTTAAGAACCTCCTCTACAGTGCTCTTCTACAAAAAGCCCCAAAACTGCGGTACATTGTCAAAAATAGCGTTTTCTCTTCATATCCAGTGAAAACTCTGCAATAATTTATTCCAGTGTTGAACCCGATATCTACACGATACGAATTGGAACATGATAATATAAATATCAGAACCAGAAGTGATTATTTGTAGTGCAACTCAGTTGGATACCAGAACTCTGATGAAAACATGATAAAACCACTAAAGCTGGAATATTTTGGAACATTGCAAATGAAACCTAAAGTAGTAACTAAACATTGGTGGTTTCCTGATTCCTTGTATCTCATAGGTGATTATTGATAACCAATCTAGCCCTGATGATGGTACAGAAATTGATTTAGACAGTCCTGAACAAGGTTGAGAATGGCTCAATTTTTCTGTAAACGATACCAAGCTATATTGAGAAGAAAATTAACTATTAAACCATTACAATAACTGACACAATATATTGTTCTTAAATTCCAAAGTTGTAAGAACTAGATTCCAACCCACACATCAATAGACGTGTACGTCATTAAAGCTGAAGCGGATACGGGCGAAACTATTTTTTTTACGTTTTTCTATTTGTAAAAAACTTAAAGTAATGATAGCCCTTCGAGACGGTGCTACGTAGTACCACAGGTTATAATTAGCTTACAGTAGTCGGACGGGTGCGTGATGCCTATTTTGTATAGTAAAGCAAATTGGAGGCCTCAGTCATGCTATTGCTAAAATGACAACAAAATCAAATAGATACGAATTCTCGAAATTTTCTAAAATCTTCTATGATGGGTGGTCTCCACTAAAATGTTTTGCATATTATCTAGTAAACTAAGCAGGTACCTTCTGCCGTATTAAAAACCATTTAAGTATTTAATTTCGCAATAATTAGATTCCTTATAGAGTGGTCGAGTCAACGACGTCATGTTTTGAATAGTTTCGAAATGGTATTGGTAATGCAGATTGGTCAACGACCCAAAAGAAAGCTTAATTATTAATGCCTCTCGTTGTCTACTAAATGGTCACTCTTGCCATCGTTTATTTTCTGTCAACCAAAGAGGAAAATTATTTAACCTTTTGACTGTCAAACTTTTGAGGTTCTTCTACCAGGTCCATGACGAATATGCACTAAAGGAATTAGACTTTCATCATCCATATAAGGCCGATAAATGGTTAGTACTATATACCGACAGGTACGTACTGTTGGAGAGTGGGTAAAGATGCAAAATGGTAAGAAGTTAGCGATATTCAGGTATACCTACGGACAATATCTTCTAGTTCTAGGGACGAACTTGGATGTGTACGACTGCGATCCTTTGCTCATCACATGCGAGTTGACCAAAACCATTTCTCATTAGTTCATTTATAATCTATGTATACTTCCTGTTCTCACCTATGGATCATGGATCCCAAACATGGACACTTACAAAGTCAAACATGGATAAAATAACAAAAGCACAAAGATCAATGAAAAGACAAATGTTACATGTGAAACTGATAGATAAAAAGAGGAACGAGTGGATAAGGAATAAGACGAGAGTGACAGACGTTAAAAAGGAGATAGCAAAATTAAAATTGAAATTCGCAGGTCACAATATCAGACAAAAAGACCACCGATGGAATAAATGTATCTTGAGCTGGAGACCTTGGGAGAATAAAAGAAGTAGAGGAAGACCCCAGATGACGTATGCTGATGACCTGAAGAAACACGCTGTAACCAGGTGGATGAACATGGTAACAGACAGATAGGAATGCAGAAGACTGGGGGAGGCCTACGTCCAAAGATGGACTGAAGAAGGCTGAATAGATAGATAGATAGATGGTACACTGTCTTGGGCAAATCACATAGAGCGAGTAAGGAAAAAAATTGCAACCTTCATAGGGGTCTTGTATAGAGTTAGATACCTCTTGAAGTTGATTATACGCAGAAAACTTTACCATGCTGACATATATACTTAGTCATTTACATTATTTGATTTCTGTCTAAGGAACTGCTGAAATTTCTCTTCTGAAACCATTGTAAACCCTCCAGAATAGAGCATTAAAAAACATAGGTACATCGATTGCCAATTCACTGCTCTACCCAACAGGTATACTACTCAAAAAAAATAATGTTTATTATAGAAAATTTAATAATTATATAGATTTAAAATACTATTGTCCATCCATATTGTAATGAAAAACAAAAGGTCAATCAAATTCATAAATGTTTATGAAGTTTATAAGCATCAAACTCGTCAAGGACACAACTCGTATTGTCCAAGACAAAAGTCAATTATTTATAACTGAGTCAAATTGTATAACCACTTGCCTCAGTGTTTAAACTTAATCCACAATGAAATTCTATTTAAACAAAGACTGAAACAATTTATTGTGGCGTCCGCCAGGCTGTCAAAAATCTTAGGCACTCCCTGTCGAATATCCTAGAATCTAGCAAATTATTCTACTTTAATCGGGAAAATAAGATTATCGTGTGTATTCTAGATTTTACAGGAATAGATTAAGGGATATATAAAGGCCGGCATTGTTTTGTAAGTTTAAGTTAAAGTTTCACTGTGATACGAGTTAAATAGTGATTATTGTTGTAAAAAGTTTAGTTGTTGAGTTAGTAATTAGTGTCAAAGTGTAAAGTTTTTTAAAGATTTCTGTCAGGCAATCCAAAGCCGTGACATTATGTTAACTTCTATATTTCAGAACAATAATAAGACCAAAAAATATATACATATATATTAAATAAAACCTGTAAAGTAAAGTATAAGTATAATGTATAGTCGAGTCGTCCTGTGATTTTCTGTGATTTTTTTTGTTATATAAAATTGTTAACTGAAAAAGATGAAGGAAATAATGAAATGTCAGAATGAGAGCTAGTGCAAAAAATGAAAGAATGTGTAAAGTACCTCAAAGATATAATGACTATGAGATTTATATGAAGTTTGATAATTGATGCTGTATCCTTTATTGAGGAAGTGCCGAAAAATTCAGAAAAAATAGTGCATAGAAAAAATAAAAATATGTGGCTGAAAGCAATAAGCAAGGAATTGGGATCAATAGAAAAGAATAACACATATAAAGAGACCAAAAGGAGAAGAAATTTTAAACATAAGGTGAGCATTTTCTTTAAAATTTTTAGAAGAAAAAGAAGAAGAGGAATGTAAAACAAGATTAGTACCAGTAAAGGGATGGGCCCAAAGAGATTCTTTCAATTACGATGAATTGTATCCACTGGAGGTGAAAATGTCAACCATACTTTGTCCATTGGAAATCAGTATAAGTTTCATTATAAACAACTAGATCTTGAAACCGCTTTTTTGAATAGAGATCTAAATGAGGATGTGTATATTTATCCACCAGAGATGATTGAATGTGAATCTGATAGTGTATTCAAATTGAATAAAGCCTTATATGGTTTTTTAAAGCAAGCTTCTAAATGTTGGAATAATAAAATTAACAGTCATAATATAATAGATTTAGGATTCGAAAGATCTAGAAACTGATTACCTATACTAATATATTTGTTGTTATATGCAGATGACAGAATTATAACAAAATTGTGGGATGTAAACTATTTTGGTAAATAGGGAATAAAGGAGAGAATTAAAACATTTTTTGGGGCTTGAAATTGATTACAAAAAGACAAGAAGGAATTTTGGAGTCAAAAGGAATATTCAATGGAAATTTTGAAGCGTTTTAATTTTGAAAATTGTAATAGTTCACCAGCACCAATTAATCCAAAATTAATTTTTTTTACAAATGAATATGACAAAGGTGCCAAACCAGTAAGAGAGTTGATTGGTTGCAGAGCTGATGTCAATACTTAAAGTAAATTACTTGAAATTTTAATTCAATAAGTATAAATAGGTACTTCAAGAGCCAATATTTTTGCTCTCAATTAACGAATTTGATAGGTCGTCAAAGTTTTGCATGTGCCAAGGTCTATAAGTATGATGTGGTTAGAGCACATTCAAACCCCTGGTTACGAGCCTGATTATTTATAACGGCTGAATTACTTGTACTTCCAATATCTGTTCTAAAATACTTGGGTTTTTCTTGATTATTAGGTCAAGTATTTTACTTGAAGTATTTTGAGTATTTACATGCAGACCTGCCAATCCTTGAAGTAGATTTTTTTGAATTTTACTACAAGTTCCTACATATAGTTCTTTCAAGGATTATACTTCAAAGTACTTACTTTATTGGATTAATCTGTTCAAAAATCGAATATCTGTACTTAAATACTTATGGCCGTTAGCACCAACGGTTTAAGGGAAGCCTTAACGATAAGTGTTCTTAAACTGACATTTTTTTATGAGGAAATGTCACTTTGAGGAACATTTTATTGTTGAGGCTTCCTTAAAATTGTTGGTACATTAGTCATTATGTTACTAAGCACCAGAAGCACCTTAGTACTTTTAATACTTTATTTTTGAAGTTGAAAAATCAAAAATAAATAACCTAAAGCTCGGATAAGATATCAGAATAGAATGGGAATCGGATTATTATTGTGAATAACTAAAAGAATTACTTAGAATTGTCTTGTTTTAAACAGATTTAAGATATTTGGAGTATCAAAATTCAAGTACTAAATATACCTACTTCAAGTAATGCCACTTTACTTGAAGCTTAAGGTTTTTACTTAAAGTAAATTACTTAATGAAATTTAAGTAAACTTCAAG